AACAGTTATTCGAATATTATAATTCACTACTTATAAGTGATTAGTTACGTAAAATCATTGTAGTGATTTGACTTGTACATATCATATTTTTAATTATTCTCCGAGTATTGTCTTAGAAGAGGATGAGCTTTAAGAACTATCAAATGTATTATATTCATTTCACCTTTAAACAAGAAGGTTTCTGTGATATATTGTATTAGAAACTTATTTAAATGTCGTTAGAAGCATTTTTATAATTATAGTAGTCCAATTTATTACGCTGTAAATACTGCTGTCCGGCTTAATCAACCGACGAGCTATCTGAGATTGTTGCTCTCTTATACATGATGCTATGCTTTTTTAATCGGTAACAAATACGCGAGATTTTTGTACAAGTATTATATGACACAATTAAAACATAGAAGTTTATATGATCGTTAATTTTTTAAATTGAAGCTTATAGTAACAATTATACTAGTTGCTGACTTATTTTACCATCTGACTTAATTTAAGATAAACTGTTAATTAGTTTGTAGATAACATTCTACTGAGATTAGTAAACACAACTTAAATAAATTTGTAACCTGAGAAGTTTGTTTTTGACAATGTTTCCCGTTAAAAGTAGTTTGAGGGGTGAAATATTTGTCTTACTATTGAAAAGTGAAAAAGTAGGTTGTTATGAGCTCTCTATTTCTAGACAACTGCAAACGCTAAAAACAGCATTCAAAACAGTCACTATAATTCATACACTGATATCACATTTTGAATAACACCTGAAAACGTAAGAGCAATTGTTTCTTATTAGACTTAGACGTAGAATGCAATTCATTATAATGCTTCTTAATGAGCTTATTGATAATAATGAATCTCTTTACAAATTGTGTCCGAGTAATACTGAAGAATAAATTATTGGTTGAATTAATTTATTTTACCAAGTTACTGTTCACAATCACTTTTAAAAAGACCAAGTCAAAATTCAAAGACACTAAGTGACTAATGTATTTATGATGAATTTAATGATTTTGGTTATAACGGAGTTGATATATAAATCCTGCTTTAGAAGTTATGAACTCACATTTTTTAATAGACATTAGTGGGAAGGAGGCCTAATTTCAAAGTTTTTTTTAATAAAACCAACCAAAACATCAGCAGATGGGTAACAGGATCTTAGACGTTGCTTTTAGGAAGGTATTTAATTTAAAGAACGTATCAAATGATTTTTCATAACCTTTTACCAGAATCTTGGAACAGTTGAGACAAGTACAATCAACAAAGATGAGCGATGACCGTATAATACAACAAGTGAAGCAAGTTCGATAGTGTTAGCTTTTATAGACATCTTACTTACTTACTTACGCCTGTTACTCCTCGTGAAGGAGCATAGGCCGCTCACCAGCATTCTCCATCCAACCCTGTCCTGGGCAATCCTTTCTAGCTCCGTCCAGTTGTAATTCATCGTTTTCATATCTGCTTCTATTATCCGACGCAATGTGTTCTTTGGCCTTCCTCTTTTTCGCTTCCCCTCAGGATTCCAAGTTAGGGCTTGCCTCGTGATGCAGTTTGACGATTTGCGTAATGTATGTCCTATCCATTTCCATCGTCTTTTCCTAATTTCTTCTTCAGCTGGAAGTTGGTTTGTTCTTTCCCACAGAAGGCTGTTGCTGATGGTATCCGGCCAATGGATGTTGAGTATCTTGCGTAGACAACTATTTATAAATACTTGTACATGTTGGATGATGGTGGTTGTTGTAGTTCTCCAAGTTTCAGCTCCATACAGTAGAACTGCCTTGACGTTCGTATTGAAGATTCTCACTTTGATATTGGTTGAAAGTTGTTTTGAGTTCCATATGTTCTTCAATTGTAGGAATGCGACCCTTGCTTTACCGATCCTCGCCTTTACGTCTGCATCTGAGCCTCCTTGTTCATCGATGATGCTTCCCAGATATGTGAAGGATTCTAAATCTTCCAGAGTTTCGCCATCAAGAGTGATTGGATTGCTGTTCTCCGCTTTAAATTTGAATACCTTAGTTTTCCCTTTGTGTATGCTGAGGCCTACTGATGCAGAGACTGCTGCTACACTGGCTGTCTTCATCTGCATCTGTTCGTGTGTACGTGATAGGAGGGCTAGGTCATCTGCGAAGTCCAAATCATCTAATTGATTCTGAGCTGTCCATTGTATTCCGTGTTTTCCTTCAGATGTTGAGGTCTTCATAATCCAGTCGACCACCAGGAGAAAAAGGAAGGGAGAGAGTAAACAGCCTTGTCTGACTCCGGTCCTTACTTGGAATACATCTGTCAGCTGTCCTCCATGCACTACTTTGCACTGTAGTCCGTCGTATGAGTTCCGGATTATATTGACAATCTTCTCAGGAACTCCGTAGTGTCGAAGAAGTTTCCATAACGTCCTCCTGTCTACACTGTCGAATGCCTTTTCATAATCAATGAAGTTGATGTATAATGATGAGTTCCACTCAACTGATTGTTCGACGATGATCCGTAGTGTTGCAATTTGGTCTGTGCACGACCGATCCTTACGGAATCCAGCTTGTTGATCTCGAAGTTTCGCGTCTACTGCATCCTTCATCCGGTTCAGCAACATTCTGTTGAAGACTTTCCCTGGTATTGACAGTAGTGTAATGCCTCTGTAGTTTTCACATTTGCTCAGATCTCCTTTCTTTGAAATCTTGACGAGGTGTCCTTCTTTCCAGTCCATCGGCACTTGTTCCTCCTCCCAAATCTTTTTGAATAGAAGATAAAGCATGCTTGTGGTTGTTTCGATGTCTGACTTCAGTGCTTCAGCTGGTATGTTGTCGGGTCCTGCTGCTTTTCCGTTCTTGATTTGTCTGACAGCCATTCTAATTTCTTCCGTAGTTGGTGGATTGACATCTATAGGAAGATCTATGTGTGCTGCTTCGATGTTCGGTGGATTCATTGGAGCCGGCCTATTCAGGAGTTCCTCGAAGTATTCTACCCATCTGTTTCGTTGTTGTTGAATTTCGGTGATTGGCTTGCCTTCTTTGTCTTTGACCGGCCTCTCTGGTTTACTGTATTTCCCTGACAGTTTCTTCGTTGTATCGTAAAGCTGTTTCATGTTTCCTTCTCTAGCAGCTTTTTCTGCCGTCGTTGCTAGTTCTTCAACGTATTTCTTCTTGTCGGCTCTAATGCTCCTCTTCACTTGTTTGTTTGCTTCTATGTATTCAGCTTGTGCTTGGACTTTCTCTGCTCGTGTTCGGCTGTTGTTTATTGCTGCCTTCTTGTTCTTCCTTTCTTTGATCTTGTCCACTGTTTCTGTAGAGATCCATTCCTTATGATGGTATTTCTTTAGACCGAGAACCTCTTGACACGTTGAAGTTAATGCTTCCTTGATGCCTTTCCAGTTGTCCTCCATAGTAGTTTCTTCTTCTTTCAGTAGATCTCGTAAGGCTTGGAACCTGTTGTTGAGAGCTATCTTGAATTCATTGAGTTTGACAGTATCTCGAAGGAAGGCTGTATTGAACCTTTGTATTGCTGTTTGTCCACTTGTCCAGTTCTTTTTTAGCTTCAGTTTCAAATTGGCTACAACTAGGTGGTGATCTGAAGCTACGTCAGCACCTCTCCTAGTTCTCATATCTTCCATTGTCCTTCGGAACTTTTTGTTGATGCAAATATGATCTATCTGGTTCTCTGTAGTGTGGTCCGGTGAGATCCATGTAGCTTTGTGTATACGCTTGTGTGGAAATATTGTGCCGCCTATGACCAATTTGTTGAATGCACATAGATTTGCAAATCTTTCTCCATTTTCGTTTCTTTCTCCCAGTCCATGTCGTCCCATAATATCTTCATATCCAGTGTTGTCTATTCCAACTTTGGCATTTATATCTCCCATTAGAATGATGAGGTCCTTTCTTGGGCATTTCTCTATCACTGACTGCAGCCGCTCGTAGAATTGATCTTTAATGTCGTCGTTGCTCTCATTGGTGGGGGCATAATATTGGATAATATTCATTGTAATCTCCTGCTTCTTTGTTTTGAATGATGCTTTGATGATTCTGGATCCGTGAGATTCCCATCCTACAAGTGCATTTCGTGCTACTTTGGACAGCATAAGAGCGACTCCCTGAGTGTGTGGAGCATTATCCTCTTCGTGACCGGAGTATAGCAGCATCTCTCCCGTAGCTAGCCTTTTCTGTCCATCTTGGGTCCAGTGGGTTTCGCCGATTCCCAGTACTGCTAAGTTGTATCTCCTCATTTCCATTGATATTTGACTGGTCTTCCCGGTTTCCCACATTGTTCGAACGTTCCATGTACCTATAAAAATTTTTGCTCTGGTTGTTAGATGGGGCATCGGCCTCGTGGCTTCCGAAGGAACTCGGCTTTCACCATGAAGCGTCATAATTCTTCTAAATGAAGACCTTCTAACTTTCAGGGCAGAGTTAAAATGGTTTGGATTATTTTTTCTGGTAAGCGTTTTTTTAGCGAGTTAGTTTTCTACGGGATGGGGACGTTAACCCCATGCCCAACCCTCCTCCTTTACCCGGGCTTGGGACCGGCAGCAACCCTATAAGAGCTACAGGCGGAGTTTTTTATAGACATCACAATAGTCTTAATAAAACGTTGACTCCTGAACTTGATTCAACTAGTTTAATAAAATAACCTTGATTCTAAACGACAAGGAGTAATTAGATAAAATAAGAAACTCAAGTTCTTTTCTCTGTCCATATTCTTCAGTTCACTAAATTGAATCTTCTGACGTGTGTTAAAAAGCATGCAACACAGTTTATTTAGAGGTGCCCGTCTATGGACACCAGCCTTCAAACCTTTCTTAAATAAAATTATTCTGATAACAGGACTGGTGAGTTAAGAAAAAAACGTCAGCTATACAAAATTACAAAGCACTTACTCCCACCCTTGGATAATCATGAATAAAAACAAACTTGAATTAACGTTAGTAATATACATACTCCAAAGATTCATTTAATTCCTCATTTTCTTTAATCTTCATGTCATAATCGTTTTTTATTTTATTATTTTCTTCCCATAAGGCATCATACCGACTTTTAGGCATAACATTCACGTATTCAGCTTTCAGTCGAACCACTTCAAATTCAGAAGCTGACTGAGCTTTTCTTGCTTGCCTAGAATAGGAAGTGAAAAATATCTAACTATGAACTATACACTTTTTGTGAAAATCCGTACGTTATTCATGAGTAACACAGATTTTACTTGTTTTTATTGAAGGATATAAATAAATACTTTGTCACTTTTTCCCCAATTTGTTATGATATTGGATGTCTTTTGCTTGTTATATCACCTCAAAAAAGGTTTTAACCTAAAATAAATTCTTTTTCTTATAGAACTACGCAAAGTAAAAAAATGCGTCACAGTAAGCCTAGTTTGCATCACGTAGTAAATAATTTTTTATTCCTAAACTAGATATCAGTGAAGTCGAATCATCAACTAAAAATCCAACATCTTTCACTCAGAAATAGTAGGAAATTTATCATAATTCCACGGTCGTCTGTTGATGGAATTAACGGATCTAAATACTCTAAACCAAAGAGTTTTGAGAGTTGAGTATTGTCATAATAAAGCGTGAGTGTAAACAAAGACGGTGAAAACAAGCTTTTTTGACAATATGTTTGTTTGATTTTGCGTTAGATAACTATTGGTTATGACTCTTTTTGTGATAGAACAAATTCAAATAACCTTCTTATAAATTGAATATATTTTTGAAATATCTCCAGAGAATAGCGCCTTTAAAACATTGATCGATGGAGTCATACTGTGAGTGTAGGTATGAGGTATGGTGTATTGCTGACCTGGAACACCAAACTAGCTGTTGTGAACGAGAATTCAAGTGGGTGAAATCAATTTGTTACTGAATGCAAACGTACGCAGTGGCTTAGTAAACCATGGAAATCATACATTAAATACATCATTTGCACATGCTTTTTGAGTTGCCCTTTATATACTTCATTATTCCCTTAATTATGTTGTTAACTTGATTAGTTTCTGACTTCCCTTCCTGTTCTCTTCGATTCAGTCTTCTGCTGTCAGGCACTCCAATTCCGATTGCAGCTACTTGTCACTTATATCTGTTACCATACGTAGCAGACACCACTTAGGTATAATAATTGTATGTTCGTTTCATTAACTCTAGAATGATGAAATAATTATCAACAAAATCGATTCACGCAGAAACCAGGCTTGTTATAGCATTCTTTATCTTTCTAAACTGCACTTAAGTATTAGATAACTATGACGTTTACTATAAACAGTAGTTAAACGAGTTTATTTGTGACAGTCACGGTTTGCTTTTTTCTGAAAATAAGTGTGACCAACATTGAGAATATCTCCTGAATTAGTTTCACATGTCACAAATAGCTCCACATCACATGTTGATGAGATGTTTGTATTCATTTCGGTAAGTCGATCAAATTTTAAGACTCAAAATAACCTAAATATTCGATAAATTAGTCATCCCTAGTTCTTTCTTATTTTAAGGACAAAACGTCTCATATACAGACTGTTCATGTACACGGATAGTTTTTTGCTTATATTGTTTAATAAAAGGTTTCCGCAAGCGTTCATCCTTAAATTCGGCAGAGCAACTGTAAAATAAGACGAAATCATTATCTGCAAAGTAAAAAAATGCGTCACAGTAAGCCTAGTTTGCATCACGTAGTAAATAATTTTTTATTCCTAAACTAGATATCAGTGAAGTCGAATCATCAACTAAAAATCCAACATCTTCCACTCAGAAATAGTAGGAAATTTATCATACTTCCACGGTCGTCAAAATAACCTTAATATTCGATAAATTAGTCATCCGTAGTTCTTTCTTATTTTAAGGACAAAACGTCTCATATACAGACTGTTCATGTACACGGATAGTTTTTTGCTTATATTGTTTAATAAAAGGTTTCCACAAGCGTTCGTCCTTAAATTCGGCAGAGCAACTGTAAAATAAGACGAAATCATTATCTGCTGCTTCTTGGTTATCACTTAGTTTGTTGTTCAACTGTCAATGCAGACATAAAATTAGTGAGCTGAGTTTTTCTGCAGAGAACGTAGAGCATAAAAAAACCTTTTGTCGGTTTCAAAATACAACACTTACTCTAGTGCGATTTTCAACAAGACTGGATCATCTTGTCGGTTAGTTTTACTTTGTAGTTGCTTAGATACCCCTTCACTTTCATCAAACTGCATTCTCATTGCATTAATTTCCGATATTAACAACCGTTTTGCATCAGCTTCATATCTAAATTTGTCATGTTCTTCTTTAATTGACTGAGTTAATTGTTCTACCTGAACAAATAACCGTTGGAAAGTAAATATTAGCGTCAACGCATGAAAAAATTACAAATTGAAATCTTGAGTTTCTAAATTTGGCTAAGATCTGACTAGAAATTTATTTAGTCAACTGCTAGAATTGGTGGAGTAAACCTTTTTTGAGACAAAGTGTGGTGGAGTTTGTGTCACACCCTGCTCTTTATCAAATTCGAAGTGGATAAATGGGTTCCGAAAATGTAAGTTAATCGTTAGAAGCCTGATAGTTAAACATATTAAGCACAGTAAATCATTATTGGAGTAATTTGTTCTTATATTGATATGGAAGCTTCTTTGTAACTTTAGTTTCATAATAGAACCTTCTTAAAGTAAAGTTTGGATCACTTAGCAAGATGGTACAGATAAACCAAATATGATCTATTAGCTTGCATGAATATAATCGGATCACTGAATAATTGTCTGTATAGGTACTTATATGCTTATAGAACTCTAAAAATTTATTCATTAAGAGCCAACAACAGGTTTTCGTTGTCCAAATTTACCATACTTCGATAGCGTAACATGATAAATTTTAAAAATGAACAGAAGAAGGAAAAAATGTAGTGGAAATGAAAACCTGGAAAATTAAATATCAAAAGTTTATTTCGAAAAGAGTGAGTACCGGGATTGACTGAGTTGCAGGAGAAAATTAACTCACGAGCTTTTTGCATGGTAATTTGCTACAATAACTATGTAAGGAATTTAGCAGCGAACCCTAACGTAAACAGCTAACAGAAGCCTATTTTCGATTGTCACTTGGTTGATCAGATACAGAATCTTGCATAGACGTGTATTGACATAAGTTTTCTAACATTTTCACAGAATGATAAAATTGCCAAGACAAATCCATAAAAGTAAAAGTAAGAATCGGTCAGTAATAGTAGAAGAGTTTAGGAATAGATAGCATGATGTGTGAAGAGAGGATAAATCGATGAAATAGAAAAAGATGCGATAAATTTATTGCTCGAAATCTGACAGATGAAAAGGATGAGTGCATTTGTACAGTCGAACCCCAACCTGAGACATGTGATATAGAGAGCCAATCAGAAGTGAGTGCATTTCATTGGTTAAAAAAACATGTCAAGTTTCTGAGGATAGAGGGGTATATATATATGAGTTAGTACTTGGGATTTAATTCGGTATCTCTATACACTATCTTGCTTACTCGTGTGTTCTCGCCCAAGTAATCAGTTGGAGGGTTAGCGTGCAACAGACTGTGTATCAATATCAGTTATTTGGACACTGCCCAATGCAATATAATGTCAGTCAGTTTCTCCAGTAGGGCTGACTCAACTAGATGATCTGAACCTATTAACCTAACCAAACACGTCTGTTAGCGGCTTCGTGTAATGATGCAAATATTTTGGCTTGGTTACTCCCAGCATTCTTACAAGCAACTCTTGAATCGGAAAATTTTGCTCGTTGAGGTGGGTGGTCATGTAAGAGTAATACATGTTCCAGCCACCTCAGTTAGTGAGTAAAATAATTCTCAACTTTTTAAAACATGATTGTGAATAAAATTTGATGTTGCTGAAAAAACAGCAGAAAAAAGAGAAGTATTAATGGTTGTTTTGCTTGATTATTCCGTTACCCAAAGATACTTTAATATTAATGAAAATTTTAAAGACTAATTGAAATACATTAAGTTGATTTTTATATTTTCAGTTAAGTAAGATCACTATGGTATTGAATACAGACATTTTAAATGAACATAGCTGCACTAATTTTGAAGTATTATATCTAACTGGACATATGACTATTAAGTGAATTAATTTAATACCATTGGTTAATTTGTGCTCAGTTGTGTGACTGATTCGAAATCCCTTGAACATTACTTTGTTTGGTTGCAAGCATATCTATCTCTCTGTCTGACAGTCGTTTTATCTGTCTTTCTGTCTGTTTATTTATCTATGAACACTCTGGATAGATCAAATTTATCTCAGTACACCGCAGGTTAGACTATTCTAATGTAGTCATGGACGAATTTACTACAGTACAATTGCGAGAGTTTCCAAGTCACAGTGTAAATATGAATTTTATTTAATCACAAAACGGTCTATTTACGTGTTAAACCAATTCTACTATTCCTGAAATCCAATTAGAATGACTCAGTCCCATTAAACTTTGGTTGTTTATTAATACTGTACATCCTAGCCTATTCAACCACTTAAATATGCACTCAAAAACACTTTTATTCTAATTTTTAGTTCAGTTTATTTGTCCTCAGTTATTAGGCATAAATGTGACGAATATAACAACTACTTAATAAACCGGAGTAATAAGTGAAAAATGATAAAAATTGAGTCACTACATCATCTAAGTGTGAGAAATGTAGAGCAGTCGACTCGTAAGGATCAAACTGCAGCTAGAGAAGGACTGGTAATAAGTTAAACTTGGTTGCTTTAAAACTCGGAAATCGTAATGACATTTGTTGATTACTAACGGCTTGTTACGTCATTGAAAACCAGCGGTTTTGTGTAGTGATTATTCGAAATGCTGTCAAAAAGTCAGCAGTATCAGTTACGTCAAAACTCTTCAATCAACAAGAAAAGTTTACCTTCTCAATATATTTTACTATATATCCGCCAATCTACATACATATAAATTGAGTCATTCTGACAACAGACCTTGTTTGAAAAGGTTTTTTTAATTTGAAATGACCGTTTGTACCACTATATTACTGTTAATCATAATGTGGCACTTTCATTCTCGTACAGAGAGTAAATTCTGAAGAACATGCAGTGAATACAGTGACTAATGGCTTATATATCAAGTACGAAGGCTTTTCTAACAAAACTACCACTATGAGAAGGATGATCCAACACTATTAGGCTACATTTACGGACTGAAAAGAAATCAGCACTTTTTAATATAGTTCAAAAGATATTTTGATCAGTTTTGGGAATCCACATAGCTAAACC